GAACAATTTGAAAGATTTAGAGACTCTTTACATGTTTTGCCTTCTTTCTAGGCTAAGTTATCTGATACCTTTCTCTCATGGAGCAGTGAGGTCCTGCGCCCACAAAAATAATTTTTTTTGCGTTGTAAAGGTGTATTATAGTATAAACTATAATAATGACCGTAATTAAACTCATTTTTTACAAAATTAAAAGAAATTTCGGCACTTTTTGCGAAAGAAAATTAAAAACTGCTATTTCAGTGATCGGCCAAAACGAGCTGCATATGTGAAAAAATATCAATAAAACATAAAAATAGAGCAAATCTAACGGAATTTTTTCTCGATTCTTATCTTTATGTTCCATTTTACAAAAACAATGTGCAATATATCAGCTGGCAAAAAGGAATATGTACAAAAAAACGTTTTGAAGTTGTTTTTCTGTCGCACTGCTATTTCAGTGAACACAGCTGTATGTATGTACTTATGTGAAGTTGCAGAGGCTTCCAAAAAAGGGGATATTTACTACGGAAAGGTATAAGATAGAGCTATCGCTAGATCAACCCCCTTAACGTAAGCCCCTGCATCGTATGAGCATTATTTGTGTTTGTTTTAGTCATGACTTTGGTAGATTTTCTAACCGGTTTCGATTAAACCGGGCTTTTGGCTTTACTGCTACAGCTACCGAGCTGCGCCGCTCATGATCATTGCCAAAGCGGCGCATGGTGTTCCGTTTCTTTTCTGCTTTACTGTTTTTCCTCTGGAAAATTTCACTCGAGCACGTGCTCTCCGGTTGATGGTCACTCTAAAGATAAGTACGCTTGTCTAGGTCATTTATTTTAGCGCTACGCTACGCGACTGCTGCCTTACTTTCACACAGACCCATTTACATATCTTGAAAATATATATGTATTCGGACGGCGCACTCAAAAATGAGCGAGTGCAAAAGAGAGCTTTCGATCTTCCTTTCTCTCCGAGAGTGTGTGGGTGTATCTCTCCATCTCACTCCTTCTTTCTCTGTGCCATAATCAAATTTATTTTCAGTTCGCCTCCAACTCACGCCCACACACACAGCAAACACACGATCTTTCGTTTGTTTGTTTGTTTTGCATGTTTGTTACTCTTTCTCGTTTTCATTCAATGAAATATTCAACGCCCCGTGCAAAAAGTTGTTCTCACTTGATGATGCTGTTGCGGTCACACTGAAAGAATATTTAAATATCTTTAAAAACTGCAAAATGATACAAAATTACTTTAAAAAAAGTGCCCATGGATAACTGGATTTATTTCTTGTTATGATTAAAATATAACACATTTTTCTTATAAAATAATTATAAATTAAAGTATATAATACTTTCTCAGCAAATTGTTATTTCCTTAAAAATATTTGTAGATCTCTATAAGTGCCGAATTGATGTTAATTTTTCGTTGTGTGCATTCTGTTGTTGTCTTTATTTCAATCTCGTTTGAGTACGTTTTTCTCGTTTTTATGTATGTACTGCGACTGCAAAAAAAGTATTTTTATTTTGGACTTTGACACAGTCATACGATGATTTTGTTACCCCATTATTCGCCCCGAGAACAAACGCTTGACCGATCGAGGGAGAGGGCGATGTAGCAGACACTCACGTAATGCTCGCATGGAAATAAATAAATCAAATGTTGCAATTCGATTTGGATTTTGCATTATGTCCATAGAGTAATATCGCGGTCTCACTTTTGCCGCTTCGTTCAATGTCAAGGCAATCAGTTGATGAATAATTTCCCGTTACAATTTCCCCAACAACAACAACTGGACACCTTGACCAAAGTTCAAGTAACCGGTCGACAGACAATTGGAAATATTTATGCAAGTGCGCTGCTTGTCGCGTTTTTCATTGTAAACAAAATAAACAGCTGATGGCGTGAGAATTGAACTTGTTCAGGTGCTTAAAAATAAAGCCAAAAAACACGTAAACCAAAAACACTAAAGTCACAACTTGAGTCACCTACTGCGCAACTTCACAGAGTGATAAATTTACCTTTATAGTATATAAGTAAAGCACAAATGAAGACCACGTAAGTGGACACGTTTCCCTCTGCTTGGGGGGGCATTACTGATGACGTGTTCTAGCTAGATAGATATATAGATTTGTACGTATTTAACTGCGTATTCTCTGGTTGCCATTCTCGACATACAATTAATGTGGAAAGAGTGCTTCCACACTCGATTTTTGGCATTGCTCGGCGATTTCATAATGCCTCACGCAAACTTGAAGCTTGCCTTGTGGGCTTTGACAGCTGATTTTGATTGCGAATCCCTTTTTGCAAACTAGTCTTTTTTAAAATAATACCAAGCTGCATAGTTCGTTTTCAAGTTCGAAATTTAGCCTACTCTATTTCTGCTTTCCATCTGTTTTTTAATTTAATCATGCATAACGTGGGTTTGTTTGTTCAATGGTGGTGGCAGTAAGTTGTGCAATGCACACAAAAAAGTAGCGGGAAATGCATTATAATAGCATTCAATACCGAAATTGGAAAGAGCTTGTTGTGTGCTTTTAGCAGCAAACAGTTAGAGGTGACTACTGCCTTTTGCCAGCTGTAATTAATGCCAGCTATTGTTTTTAAGCAATTAGGCAAGTTTCACCCTAAAATTACAATTAATTGGTTGTAACGTGCAATTAGCTGAAGGAGAGCTAAAATGCATTTGAGCTTAAAGTAAACTAAACCTAAAATTTAGTACACTCATGATCGCATTCCAAGGTAGTTTTTGCTTGTTAAGCTCTTATCACCTAATTTTTAATACTAAGTCCTTAAAAAAGGAATGCTCACTTAGCCCAACAATTTTTATTTTTTATTTTTAGAATATAATAAAGTAAAACATTATATTTTTATGATACTGTATAGTATACTTAATAACCGTGTATACCCATATCGTTTGCTCGCATTTTCAAATTGCATTTAAACAATGCAATTAAGTGAAGCTTATCAAACCCCTATAAAAAACCCATGAACATTAGGCTAATCGCGAAATAATGTTTGCAGTTTATCAATATAACTGTACAGGATCTGCATTCCATTAATACAAGCTTAAATGCCATAAAATCTCTGTTCAAAAATGGCGTTCTAACGATGTCTATATGTATATACATATTTTGTATGTTCATTTTGTTTTTAATTGCCATCTTTTTACAGTAAACACAACGTTTTTGTTTGCTGATGTATGGTCCGATCGCTGTTGACCTTTGCACGGGTTGAAGTGTTCGTTGTAAGACATTACGCATACAACGGGTGTGCGTTATCTAACCGCCCCGCCAAGGCTTATGAATCGGATCTGATTCAATCAGTTCCCAGAGGAGAGGGGCTGCCCGAGTACGGATTACAGTAATCACAGGGCTTAATGTGTACAATTTCCTCATTGTTTCCCCGCGGACCGTGAACACTTCTCGTTGTTTGAGAGAACATCACGGGAATAACCTTTGTTCTCCAGACACGCCACTGTGAGTGATCTCGTTTGGAGCGACACTGTGTGGTTTCAGTGCCACTTTGACCAGGGTTCAAGATCTGAACAGAAATGCGATAAAAGTTTAAAGTAAATCGGTGGATATAAAACGCTAAACTAAACACAGCTTGGTATTTTCATAAAACGTTCATTCATTAACCCGCAATGGCCGCGAAACAACTTTCGCTCATGTTTGCGCCATTCGATCGTTTTGAACTTTGCACAGTGCCTATTGTACTATGGAAATTAGTGTTTTGGAATTTATATAAAATAAATCGATATAAAATCTTACGGTTTCAGTGAGTTATATTTCTTTTACGTTAATACTTTAAAAAGTATTCTATCTGAATTCCTGATACTAATAGTTTTAAAGATTAGCTTTGGACCCACTGCGCGTATTGTTTTGCTAACTTGACTGTGTTTTTTAAATATTTAAATGCCGAATTCTGTTGTTGTTTTCGCCTTTGTTATCGTTATGTTTTCATATTTCCTTTCTTCGCAAACAAAACACGTATTCACCACGTTTACGATTTGGGGTCTTCAGCGTTGAGTTTTCGCCAAATTTCAGAGAAATACATATATCCCAGCAGAAGATCTGTATTTTTGAGGCCAGTTCAATGCACTCCACCGCCGTCGATGTCGACTGAAACGGAGTTTAACATTTGTGCCCACTTTATATATCACCCGCATATCACATGGCCTGCGACTTGGCAGTGATTGCATAAGGGTCGAACTTTGGGCAGCGGGGAATTCGGTTTGTTGTTTATCAGTGACGGCAGATTCTAAGGAAACCATTCCATATCGGGTTTTTGGCGGATAAACCTCGGTATGTCGGACTTTGGTCCCAGCCACCACCAACGAATTTCGACAAACAAGTTGTGTAAGTTAATGGCAAAGAATTTTCTGTACCCGACCTATGACAATGTTGCTCTTTAATACAATATGCGAAGAACCATTGCTAGTGAGAGAGAGAGAGAGTGAGTGAGAAAGATTCGCTCTTTCTTGAGAGTAGAGAATCAGATTATGCAATATCTAGCTCTTGCTTTTCTTTTAGAATTTGTCTAATTTTAAACTCACTCTATATATCCGCCTTTCTCTGTTGACATTATCTCTTTTGGCCATTCTTTGTTTTCTATAATATCAGCGTATATCTGGCATATATCCAGGAAAAACCCAAGACGTAACAGAAACTTGTTTGGCTTTCAGTTTATGATTTGATTAGAATATCTATGAAGGCCAGATTGTCTAATTGAAATAATATTTGGGGCTCGATTCGATTAGATCGATATATTTTAAGAACTTAATTGGAAATTCCCCTTACTACGAGAATTTTATCGGTTTATAAAATAAATTTAATTAATTTTGTGCTGTTTTGATAAGGGTATCTTTTGTTATGCCATTAAACGGTGTTGGTTGCTAAAGACTGTTCTTATTTATGCCAAAGTTTACGCTTTCTTCGCTGTTTCTTTGATCTCACATTGTTGTGTTATCCCTCATTGTCACTACATAAAAATGCATATATTCGTTATATTTCCGGTTGCAGGTAAAAACGTCGCACAGACCAACACATGCGAGGACATCACTTGACATCATCGCTTACTTGTTGCATCCATTGTCCTTGTTCGTCCTTGCCATCAATCAGAGCTAGGCTAAGCTTCTCATTCAGCTCTTAATATCGGAGGATTATTCATCTCCAGAGATCTCAAACGGAATCCATAGCAATCGGACAAAAATAAAACCAGCCTCAAGATGTTTATCGAAGATGATGCGCAGTAAGTACAAGGTTTTAAATATCTATTGATTACTTTATGTTTATGTTTGCTTTATTCGTATTCCATGGGAATTTCACTTAGTGTTAGCTTAGTGTTGGTTGTGGATATATTTTGGTGTTGGGTAAAGAGCAAGAATATATTATATACCCGTTGTGCTATTATCGGTTTAATAAGTTATATTTAAAATCATTTATACCGTCTCCAAACAATTAATTCAAGTTTAAGACAAGATAGAGTACTGTTTCAAAAAGTTCTTTTATACTAAATAAAATAATACTTTTATACTAATTTAAAAAGTTTCATAATACGTTTACATATAAAGCAATGTTTAAGCTTGATTAATACTATTATTAAAATATTCAATCATAATATTTTCCTTATAAAAATGGAGTTATTCAAATTTAAACTAAACCAGTTGCAATACATTCCAGCATGTTTGCAATTATTGTTATATGGCTTTGTACGACTTACCGACATTACTTAATGTGCCTTAACGCCATTTAAAACTTTACATAATTTCCTAGGAAAAGCAATCATTAACTTCCTTAGGCACTTTGAAGCTTACTCGTAGCATTTGCACTTTATCGGCTAAAAAATTCCTAGTGACATGCAGCAACCTTTTAAAGCCCTCCCCCCGTGCGCTAACTTGACGTCATGCCCACTTGCGCAATCCAAGTTCAAGGCTATCGTTCGATTTGCTTATCAGCTAGTTAGTAGTACAGCGCTCCCTGGATGGCTATATCAAGTGTGCAGCAGTCTTCTCGCGTATTATAGAAATCGGCAACCCGTGTGATCGCCACTGCAATTAAAACCCGTCTATATAGTATGTGCCCTGTCGCGCATGACCGGTTATAATGATAAGTAGCTTCTAGTCTGCGAATTGCGATAAACCAAAGGCACAAGCAGGAGCGATTATGATTAAAAAAAATTGATTAATACATAGTAACTGACCGAATAAAATGCAGTATTTTAATTAATTAAATTTTGCTATGATACGTTTATCTAGTGTCCTGGGCTTAAGCGATCAAAATTTTAATAAGGAAACAAATCTCTTCAAAATATTTGGCATTAGATTTTCCCTAAATTTAATTATAAATTAAAGATAAAGAAAAAAAAACGTGATAAGTTGGCCAGCTTGGTGCGAGTCTTTATAAAAATGGAACTGCTAAAAACGACGTGAGACTTGTGATATTTTTGGGTACTTCTTTTGTCAAGTGAAAGATTACTACGACCTATGATTTATTTAACAAATGACTAACCGACAAATGGGACTTTGTTCATTGTAAACTTTGTAAAATAGAACGCACCATAAATTTAGGTTGGATTTTTGTCAGTATTTCACATCGTAAAGATTACTCGATCGATGATGAATGAAATATGGCTGATATCCTTGATTTTCAACACACTTAATGGGCCACTCAGCAACTGAAACCACTTAGAAGTAGATTCAGATTAAGTTCAGACGATAAACAAACCCGCTCTTCTATTACAAATAGCCTGGTTTCTTCTAGAAGAGGGAATCATCGCCTACGAAGCAATCTCGGGCTGATAAAAAAAGGCCGAACCGAACCTATACCTCTTTCAGTATGTGTGCCGCTCTCCAAGCTCTTATCGGGGGCTGTTCGAAAAGCGTTTTCTGAGCGAGAACCGAGAACCGATTTGAGAGGAACGAACGGAGAGTGGCAACCCCTTTCCGCTTTCGAAAGACTTGCAAGACCTGCTAACTGCTAACCAGTGGCAGCAGCGGCAGGTGGTGATATCAGTTGGTTTTCGGCTTGCGACAGCGCCACAACGAGTGGGTGGGTGTATTGGGAGCCACGGATCGGGCGTATACGCGATGTGTGGGAAAAAGCGATAGTTCTTGCTTGCTGCTGAACTGAATTCTGCTCAAACATTTACATATCCAATTGGCCGGGAACTAATTTGTATTTTTGATTGCCTTTTTTACAGAATGGACAGCTTTTGGGTGCAGAGCGCAATTGGCGCGATCAAGGCGATCGCCTTCATGTACGACATCATCACGCTGCCTGTCTATTTGGTGTTCCAAAAGCCCTGGAAACGCCGGCAGGACTCGCGCCGGGTGAAGGTGAGTTCGGAGAATCCCTTTCCGTGATAGTTTTTTCTGGCGGAGACGAAAATTTAAGGCCTAAGCTACGACGACTGTGTAACTATCTCTAGAATCGTGTGTTGTTGAAAAATACTTTCGACTTTGCACTGGCCGTTCCAAAGTACATTTAGACCTGGCCACAATCGCATGCTATAGTTATATATTTATATATATATTCATTTATTAGTTGAAAACTGCACACACCAGCTATCAGCTAGATTTAACTTTTAATTTTCCTCGGCCCGCCTTGTTCTTCACCTTGAAACTTTTGCCAGCCCCTGGCACCTATCTCTCTTCCGAGCTTCTCAATTGTTTCCCAGTAATCAGTAGTTGGTATGTGTGTGCCCGACGACTTTTGATTTATTGACCGGGTCCACCTTTTTTCCTCCTATCTATCCGCTCGCTTTCCGTGTGGTCTTTATCAGGGATTCGCGCTTTTATGCGACAATTAGCCGCAACGATTTCCTTGCTTTCGCGAATATATTGACAGCCGAAATCATGGCTATATATGTGATAATTGCACAGGTTTTGTCACACCATATATACCCAACGCCGTCCAGGTGGTCTCTGATAAGAGAACTGTGGGGTTGGAAAATAATGAAAGTGATTTGGTTTTACCGGCACCCTGGAGTCATGTAAATCGGAGAGATTTTTAGTGTGCAAGTTTATTAATGTGGCTAGAAATACATTTGATATCTGTCTTTACCTGTGAGAAAAAATACTTGTTGAACATGCTCGGGCGCCATTCAGACACTGCTATATTTGGACACCGCAGCTAGTTTAACATGGGTAACACTCTCTCTGAAAAGTTTTTAAAGACCTAGGATAGATAGATATTTAGTTGAGCTACAAAACACACGCTTTGGAAAAGTCTCAGTCATGAAACTATGTATGATTGATATCTGACGCGCTTCTATCGCCACTATCTAAATAGAGCGATTTTGGTTGGCTTCGTGATAAGGTTTATGGGGTAAGAAGGTGTAGATATATGCCAACGTTATAAACTACGGCGGCGATGTGCATCACTAAATTGTGAACCGTAAAGTCTATAAACAATAATTTTTGCTTAAGAACTTGCAAGGGCAAATGTGTGAGCAGGGAAAAGAAATTGGTTAGGGGAAACCATGCTTAAACTCGCTTCTCATCTCAACTACTCCTCCTTCCTCAACAGGCCAAGCTAATTAACCAGAAAATGTTGGTCGATGAGTCCAAGTACGCGCCGGATGACATTGAGGTTTAAACTTTGCAAATGTGTTTTTAATACCCTTAGTAATAATGTTTGTTATGGAACGTACACGTACACTACACTACACTATAAAACACAACACATACACACTGGGGCACCCCCATACCACACACACATAAACAACACACACATGCACTTTAAATGTTCCAAAGGACTGGTGATCGTACGTACTCCGATGTCGGTTTCCCCGTTTCGGAGACTCAATCTTTGGTGTTGGTCCACGAAACATGATCTCCCGAGTTGTGGCCCTCACATCGACAAACCCTCCAAAAACTCACATGTCTGTTATCTCTCCCTCTCTCTCTCTCTCTGTCGACTCTACTCCCCCCTAATCTGGCGTTGATTTTGGTTTTGCGAATCGCGCTGCCGGCCCTCCTGACACGAAATTAAACTAATCGCCACACTTATGCTTTCAGGCAAAGATCATAACGAACGATGACAATGAGCTGACCTACCGGACTACGGATCCGCCGCGTGATGTCCACGTGAAGATGCTGCAGGAGAACATCGATACGCTGGAGAAGGTCTTCAACTATGTGGCCAAGACGTACACGTCGAAGCGCTGTCTGGGCACCCGTCAGATCCTGAGCGAGGAGGACGAGGTGCAGCCGAACGGGCGCGTCTTCAAGAAGTACAATCTGGGCGACTACAAGTGGAAAACGTTCACCGAGGCGGAGCGCACGGCGGCCAACTTTGGACGAGGTCTTCGAGAACTGGGCCAGAAGCCGCGAGAGAACATTGTTATCTTTGCCGAGACGCGAGCCGAATGGATGATCGCCGCCCATGGTTGCTTCAAGCAGGCAATGCCCATTGTGACCGTCTACGCCACCCTAGGCGATGATGGCGTGGCCCACTGTGAGTATATCGCAGTGTGGAATTTGGAATAATCCCGAAATTATCAATCAAAATCTTGTTACCACAGGCATCACCGAAACGGAGGTCACCACGGTTATCACGTCGCACGATCTGCTGCCCAAGTTCAAGACCCTTCTGGACAAGTGCCCGCTGGTGAAGAACATTATCTACATCGAGGATCAGCTGCACAAGACGGAGACCACTGGCTTCAAGGCGGGCGTCAAGATCTTGCCCTTCAACCAGGTGATCAAAAACGGCCAGGACAGTAAATACGGTGAGTGATAAAAAAAAAGAAATTTGCGTCTTTAATTTAAAGCCAAACGATAGGTTTCTTAACTATCGACTCAGACCGAAAAGGTGGTTGCATTGGGAGATTCTCCCTCGATTTTGTCCTCCTGCTCACTTTTCCCCACTGTGGATGTGCCAACTGACACGGTGGGGACCTCAGGCTCTCCATTGCTTTTACAAACAGACTTTTCCTCGTCGTCACCACTCTCGTATCCGAGTTTGAGTTCGGATGCTGTCGGAGGGCCATAGCGCCAGCTTTGAAATGGGGGTACAACATTAGATATTAGGTTCTCCAGTGAATAATTTCCGTTCTTACCTCATGTCGGTGTTGGATGCGTCAGCGGGCTGCAAGAGGATGGGCGAAGGATTAGGCGCAAGCTGCCCATTCACAGGACTGGCAGCCGCCACTTCGTTGACCGCCGGAATAGTTACATTCGCTGCCTGTGCATCTGTAACTGCGCTCCGTTTGCAGTAGGTTCTATATGCCCGATATGCGAGTACTCCGCAGTACACCCCGAACAAGGTGTAGAACACCTTAAAGCCTCTCGGCCTTGGCGACGCTGCAGTCAGTACAGCGTTGACCTGTTGCACACAAGTCAGTGGTGTTAGGGTAATGAACTCATCAAGGGTCGCTGACATTCTCGGTCTTTTTAATTTTAGGCCAAAATAACAATAACCTCAATTCTTGTCAATTTTGTTGTAAATGATTAATTAACTTGAAAACCTGCAAAGGATGAAAGTGTAGGGTTAGCATGCTTAGTTCCAAGTAAATATTTCCTTTGAATTAATTTCCTCTTTCACTTATCTTAACCCACAGAGAACGTGCCACCTAAGGGCGATGACATTGCAATTATTATGTACACCTCCGGCTCCACGGGCACACCGAAGGGTGTCCTGCTGTCGCACAAGAACTGCATTGCCACGATGAAGGGCTTCTGCGACATGGTGCCCATTTATCCGGACGATGTGCTCATCGGATTCCTGCCCCTGGCTCACGTTTTCGAACTGGTTGCGGAGAGTGTGTGCCTGATGACCGGCGTCCCCATTGGCTACTCGACCCCGTTGACCCTGATCGATACCAGCAGTAAGATCAAGCGCGGCTGCAGCGGAGACGCCACCGTGCTGAAGCCCACCTGCATGACCTCGGTGCCGCTGATACTCGACCGCATCTCCAAGGGCATCAACGACAAGGTCAACTCTGGCTCAGCGTTCAGGAAGTCGCTCTTCAAATTCCTCTACCAATACAAAGTCAAGTGGGTGCAGCGTGGCTACAAGACGCCTTTGATTGACAAGTAAGAAGAGAGTGACCTTCCAGTGGTCGTGAGTTGGGGACTGATTTCATTGGATTTCCTTGCAGATTGGTTTTCAAGAAGGTGGCCAAACTGATGGGCGGCAAGGTGCGCATTATTATGTCCGGTGGAGCGCCGTTGTCCGCGGACACACATGAGCAGATCAAGACCTGCCTGTGTCTGGACCTTATTCAGGGTTATGGTCTTACGGAGACCACGTCGGGAGCCACCGTGATGGACTGTGAGTGTTCGGAAGACAGCTGCTTTTGCGAGCTTTTGACTTAATTAATTACTAACAGATCGCGATATGACCTATGGACGCACTGGCGGACCCCTAACCGTCTGCGATATTCGCTTGGTCAACTGGGAGGAGGGCAACTATCGTGTCACCAACAAGCCGTATCCCCAGGGCGAGGTGCTTATTGGTGGCGAGTGCGTCTCGCAGGGCTACTACAAGCTCCCCGGCAAGACCAACGAGGACTTCTTCGAGGAGGGCGGACGGCGGTGGTTCAAAACCGGTGATATTGGTGAAGTGCAAGCCGATGGCGTACTTAAGATTATTGGTGAGTTTCCAAGCCGAAATTTGGAGTATAAAATATAAACTGAAACTCTATTTCCACACAGATCGTAAGAAGGATCTGGTTAAGCTGCAGGCGGGCGAATACGTCTCTCTGGGCAAGGTTGAGTCGGAGCTGAAGACATGCGGCATTATCGAGAACATATGCGTGTATGGCGACCCCACCAAGCAGTACACTGTGGCGCTGGTGGTGCCCAACCAAAAGCATCTCGAAGAGCTGGCCGAAAAACATGGACTGGCGGATAAGACATACGAGGAGCTGTGCTCATCGCCCGTAATCGAGAAGGCCATCCTCAAGGAGATTGCCGAGCATGCGAGGAAATGTAAGCTATTGGAAGGGGAGACATTCTATTGTGGATATATGTATAATATACATATTTCTGATTACGCAGGCAAATTGCAAAAGTACGAGGTGCCGGCCGCCATTACACTGTGCAAAGAGGTCTGGTCGCCGGACATGGGACTGGTAACGGCCGCCTTCAAGCTGAAGCGAAAGGATATTCAGGACAAATATCAGCATGATATTAACCGCATGTACGCCTCATGAAAGTCAATGTACTAAGCCACAGAGACGTAGCAGATGCAGTAACGACAACAACTACAACAACAACCACAACAACAACAACAACAACAACACGGATACAGATACAGTAGCGGCATTGAAGCTGTGTGCGTACCAATGGCGTCACTAGCACGACTCCTAAACTCGATCTGAAAGCCAAGCCAAAACACCACGTGCATGTCACGGAGAGTTCTCACATTTACCGAATTGGTTTCCTCTGTGTCCTCTTTTAAAAATTCCTCGTTTTTCGTCATCCCAATAAATGAAAGTTCGTTGACGTCTTGTTGGTAAGACCACAGTTTGAGGCTGGGTTTTGGTTTTTGGATATCATCACGGAACGACGATGAATGATGCTGTTGAACAGATTGACAAGGATAATGATAAGGATTATAATAATAATAACTGAATGCCGATCACATGAGAATGAATACTTGTATAATGTACAGTTTTTTTTCGGTTTTTAGAACATTTTCTTTTGTGGCAAATGAATATTGCATAAACAATACTTATTTTTATAGTATGCTTAAGTGGTTGCCTATTAATTATGTACATACGATATATACACACAAACACATCTATATGCATGCATATACATATGTGTATATTAAATCTAATATCTAGTGTACTTCTCTATGCTAAGTTTAATGTATGAAAAGATCCCTGAAGTAATTGAATGAAGAAAGCAACTTGATAATGAATTAAAAGCAAACAAAAAATGAAAAGAAAATGGAATTTCCCTGGAAAATGCTATTGTTTTTGGCGCAAAAGTAAGAGTTACATCTAAATACAAATGAAACCATCCAAAAATTATTTTTAATAACACACACACAAAGGCAGAGTAAAGGTTACAAAAAAATGGCAATTGTAAAATATATATTTTAGCTCAATTTAGTTAAATCTCACGTCAAATGAATTTTTAACAACACCTAACGAGAAAAGTCAAAATTATAAAGCAACAAATGAAAGACTTAGTACTAAAAAAACAAAGGCCAACAAATGTGGCTAAATATATACAAGCAAACAAAAATATTTGTTTTATAGATGTGCAAGAATAAATTTTGGAATAAATTGTAGTCATATTTTTAGTTAAACTATTGTATATTTAGGAAACATTTAGCAATTTTTTGTGTGCGGGAAACGTTGCGTTTCTTTCAAAATAAATTTCAAATTATAACACAAACACAGATTTTCAATTTCTGTACAAAATCAAGACGGGACACGAGTGTGTGACGGTGGTACCTTGATTCTCCTTCAAAAAGTCGGAAATTGACAATATCACTCTGTTGAAAATAAAACGAATAAATCTAATAATAAATGAGTTACAACAAAAAGCTAATAAACATGTAAAACAATTATTACAAATAAGTATCACTGCATTACTATATTTTTGATCGTATGAAATACTGGATAAATCAATAAATGAAAACTATTTTCTAGTTTTATTTGATGGCTGATTTCTATTCTGGGATCTATGATTTGTTTTATACGGGATTTGAGGGAAAAAAAGTGGGTAAATTTATAAGATTATTTCAATGTTTTCAGGATTAATTAATCCTAACTAATTTAATCCTTTTTAAACCCTTTTTGGGTATTATAATTTTAGTCAGAAGTTTGCTATGCAGTGAAGGAAACATTTCCGTCTCAATAAAGTATGTACATATATGTATGTACATTTGTTCTTGATCAGCATCAACTGCTGTGTCCGTCTGTCCGTTTCTACGCAAACTAGTTCCTCAGTTTAAAGCTATGTAAATAGATAGCTAGTCGTTTAAGTAATCTCACTGCTATGTACTATGTCGGAATCATTCGGATTGGATGATTTTATCATATAGCTGCAATAGAAACGATCTGCAAATTTTTAGATTAAAATTATAACTTTGCTGTTTTTGAACTTATTTTCATATTTTTTGGGTTATGGGAATAAGTACAAAAACTAAAAATAAAGGATATTTTTTTATTTAAGTTTGTTAAACAAATTGTATAGGACTTGAAACAAATCTTATGCGCATGTACCTATTATTTCGGCCAGTAGTGTATGAATATGTATATATATTTTGTGCATATCTCCTGTTAGTTTTTCCCTTAAAAAAAGGGAATCATTTCTTTATGATGCAATAGCAAACTGCTTGGGTATACAAGGGTATAGCTTAATTTCTTGGTTATATGTATATGGGCATTTCCACAGAAAGGTCAACCGCGGCCAAAACACTAAAACTTCTCTAAAAATTTTTTTTTCCAACATAGTAACATAAGGAAAAGGCCAATTGATTAAATTTGAAGGGCTATATCATATTCTAAAACAAATTTCGAAATATTCGAATGCATATTCGCGCAAACACGATTTTTCATTATTTTGATGAAAAACATCATAAAAATGGACCTGTTTTCTTTTGTTAATTACATCCAAACCGAGGCATTATGCTTTGACTGTTGTTTACTAACATCCCTAGAAGAATGCAAAAAGTCGAAATAAAATAGATATATGCTCTTCCAATTTACTTATAATAGTAAAAATTACATGCAAAGTATGATGAAAAAATATATCGCGTGCGACATGTCGCGTGCGAATATGATTAAAATTAAGTAAAAAATAAACTACGCTATATTTTTGCTTGTAAATTAAAGCATATGAAAGTGACATTATTGCATCATATTTTAAAATTTGTTTCATTAAAATAGTCCCTGCCGTTTCGTTGAAATCAGTGTTTAAACAGCTCGCCGCGAAAGTGACTTCTGTTTTTGTCGCGTGCGAATCCTTCAGTTTTTTTTAATTTTCTTAAAATTGAGCAAACTCTCAAAATCAACATTTGCACCAATTATAGTCCTAAGCAAGAGCTATAAGTTAACATTTATAAAAATAAAAAAAATTAAATGTACCATACTTTTTTTTTTATTTGAATGCGTACGAATGTCGCGTGCGACATTATGGAAATGCCCATATATTCTTGAGTAGCATAGACAGCCGAGTTATTAATTATTAAAAACTTAAACAAAATTTATTATGATTGATTTAAATTAGTTAATAACAAGAGTATACAAACTTTGGCATCCCGGCGTTAGCTTCCTTCATTGTTGTGTTTGAATATCGTAAATATTATACTATTTTATTTTTAAGTTTCAGCTAAGAAATTGAAGAGGTCCTTTAAAAATTTGACGTTGGCATTTTGAATTTTTGTGGAAAGTATGTACAACATTTAAAAATTCTGAGTTTACAAAACACCACAACAAACTCCTCTTTACTGATATAATCAAAGAACCCCACTAAAATGAAAATGATTAATGAAAATATAATTAATCATTAAATTAATAAAGAGCATACTTTAATACTAAGATATAAAACATAAAAAAATATATATATTAATATTATGATATAAAACTTTTCATAGGTTTATATTTACTTAAGGGGGTTTCCTGAATTAGGAGGCCAAAATTGCTTAAATCGATAGATAAACTATCTAAGAATATACCACAAAAATTTCAGAAGCCAATTCGAAGTATTTTCGAAGATACAGAGATGAAAGCAAAGGAGCGCCGAGCAGGTTTGCAGGCGCTTGGCGAACTTTGAAGCGCGTTTTCTCCACTTTTCATTTTTACGATTCTTTCAAATTGGCGGGAAAGATAACAAAAAAACTAATTGACCGATTGAAACGAATAAAGGCTTATTCTCCTCAGAATTAAATTCTCTAGTTGAACTAAAACGGTTGTTGAAAACAGCTTTTTTATATTTTTTACAGCATGTTAAAGTCAATATTTTATCCCGAAAAATGAATTTTTTTTAAACCTGAATAAAAGTTCCGATTTCACGATTTTCTTTCTTAGTTCAACTAGAAAATGCACATTTCCCGCCAATTAGGAACTGCTGTGACGAGGCGCTTCAGTGAACTACTTATGTATAAGTCCGCTATTTTGAAATTTTTTTTTTTTAATTTATTTAAGCTCTTTAAATATGTATAAAAATATACCAAAAATTGCCAGAAGCTTGGTCGTTTCTTTACCTTCGAAAAAAAAATCGCGAAAAACAACTAATTTTTGGCCTCCTAATTCAGGAAACCCCCTTAAAGAAAGAGTGGTCAATTGATCAAAGCTATTTTCTTAGAACTTTTCCCATGCTAAGCTAAAGCTTTTGGCTAGATCAATGTTAGCATTGAAGCTTTCGATTTCTAAAGCAGCTTTCTGTTCGGGTGCCGTTTGGAATGGATGACGTTCAGCTGTCAGGATGGCCGAGTGGTCTAAGGCGCTGCGTTCAGGTCGCAGTCTACTCTGTAGGCGTGGGTTCGAATCCCACTTCTGACAAGAATTTTTTTCTTACTTTATTTAAGGGGGGGGTAAGGTTAATTCGGTGCAAAAATGCCCACTTTTCAAAAAAATGTTGTGGCGAAACGGCTAAAGCTAGCTTAACGAATTAAATACCATATAATAACACAACATTTGAACAGTTTGTGATAAATTTTGTATTGAAAAATATTTAGAGGTAGAGGAGTTATAGGGAATCTCCCGAGTCGCCTCCAAAAAAAGTTGGTTTGCGGTGTACATCCTAACTGTCCACAAAATCATCCGATCTAAAAAAATTATACCTCATTCGTTAAAGGATAAGTGTCCCGAGGTATTCTCGAAGCGTTTTTATTTTTAAAATTTTTTCCCTATTTTTTATCAAAATTTGAAGTCAAAACCCCGATTTTTGACTAAAAAATTAAGTTAATTTGTTAAATAAAAAATATAAGAAAATTAAAAATTAAAAAAAGCTCGACGAGAATACCTGTAGAATTATCTAAAGAAGTTATGTTCCAAATTTCAAACCGATTGGTTCAGTATATTTTTAGTTATCGTGTACACCGATTTTCAAAATGGCATTTTTCAGGAGAGCGCTTTAAACTTTGTGATTCTCATGCATTGAACACCAACCGACCTTCGTTCAGCTCCGCATAACTTCGTCAATTTTACTATGATTGATGTAAAACTTGGACACAATATTCTTAAGATATTGAACTTTTAAAATAAAAAATAAAAAAAAATTTACGAAAAAAAAAATTAAATACCTTACCCCCCCCTTAAGCATTTGCATATTTTACCTCGGCCGTCATTAATTACGCTGTGCAAAGAGCTCGAACAGGTGCGCTCAGGCGCATTAATTTGTTTGAGCCTTTGACTTGTTCGCTCGCCCTTGTTTGCCAATGTAAATGACACAATTAGCACGCCTCGCTGCGTTCCACTTGATGCAGTGTTTACTGTAGAAGCGTTGCCCCACTGTGCCCGTGTCTATATGCTGCAATGTCTATGTTTGTTTACTCCCCGACGACGACGATGACTACTTTGTGCATTATACAGCTTAAAAATATAGAGACTACTTAATGTCCTGCTGGACAAATGTTGTTTCGTTGAGCAACAGTCTTTCCAGCTGTTTTATAGCTATTTTAACAAAAGGAAAATTTATACGAATCAAAAATAATATTTCTTAAAAATGTATAGAAAAAATGTACTTCAGCATTTTCATTTTTAAACCAAACATATTTAACCCAGTGTTTTATTTTGATATATGTAATTCAAAAATGCAATATAACTTTTTGCATCCGAAGTTTTATATCCTTACAGCTTAAAATCTTATCATGGGATTAAATTGAAAAGATAAAAAATTGTTTATTTTAATGTAATTATTTTTATTATGAATCCTCACTGTAAAAACGAGCTAGGCCCTCAGTTTTAGGCCATTTATAAAACAAGCGCGCATTGCATACCTTTAGGCGCTCGAGGGAGGTCCAGACACTCTGAAGTGGCCAGCCGCCAGCTCCTGCTGCCAACGACATTCACTAATGCAACAAATAAATCATACAATACGAGTGGGCTCCACTTTTCCAAACTTGCCATTCTCCTGGGCGAAAAGCCCAGATTATACGCCGTTATTTTGGGGTTAAAGCAAAAGGTACTTCCTTGTAAAGAAAAACCCTTAAAGTAAATGTCTTGCTTGGGAAATTTTTTGCCACCGAACAAAGTCAAGAATTTATTGCATTTTTTGTACCACAAAACTGAAGGCTTGCAGAGACCAAATGACAATTTCGCTTCCAAAGAAAAAATATTGTTCGGAGCAAAAAGGAGTACGAATTCTAAGCATCAACTGTATGCGATGGCACTAATAAAATTAATAGACCATGTCAGACCGAGAAGGGCTGGGGAGGGATCTGGAACGGGGCTGGAGCAAAGCATTCCCAAGAATTCCATACTCATACGTCACGCTCAATGGATTTCGAATGACAGACAGTCGTCTCGCCTCGCTTGTGGGAGGAGTGAGTATTTTGCAGATAAAAATGTCAGCATTAAGGAGCGAATCGCATTGACTGGCTTTGGATGGGTCAACAAACGCATTACGGGACCAATGCAAGCAACAGATTTGTATGGATACACCAGCAAGAATTCAGGCACTCGGGGCCATTGATTAAAATTTTAAATA